ATTTTTAAGAGAAAAAGCCTTTCAGCGCACCCCCCCCCCTTTTTGGGGAGGAATAAAAAGAGGGGGGTTGTACCCCACGAAAGCTTATGCTCTAATAAATTTGTTAGTCTCTAAGGTGCCACAAGTACTCCTGTTCTTTTTGCAAACAATAGAAGAGCAGTCAGTGTTTATAACCATAGGCACCGACTCCTTGTGTGATCTGGGGCTGGGGCACCCACAGAAAAAAAAATAGTGGGTGCTCAGCACCCACCAGTGGCCCCACTAATCAGCTCCTCCTCCTCTCCCCCAGTGCCTCCTGCCCGCCAGTGATCAGCTGTTCTACGGTGTGCAGGAGGTGCTGGGGAGGAGAGGGAGAAGCGGGGGCAGGAAGAGGTGGAGGGAGGGAGGGCAGGACGGACCCATTCAGGGGAGGGTTCGGAACAGGGTGGGAAGAAGAGGGGTGGAGACAGAGCAGGGGCAGGAAGAGGTGTGGCAGGGGTGAGGCCTTGGGGGAAGGGGTGGAGTGGGAGAGGAGCCTGTGGCAGAGTGGGGGTTGAGTACCCTCAGGCAGGGCCGGCTCCAGGCACCAGCCTAGCAAGCAGGTGCCTGGGGCGGCCAATGAAGAGGGAGGAGGCACGTCCGGCTGTTTGGTGGCGGGGCCGTCATTCCCTCTTGGAGCTAAGGACCTACTGCTGAATTGCCACCCTAGAATGAAGCGGTGGTAGAGCTGCCACTGCTTGTGATCGTGGCTTTTTTTTTTCCTGCTTGGGGCGGCAAAAACGCTAGAGCCGGCCCTGCCCTCAGGGAAACCAGAAAGTCGGTGCCTCTTTCTAACCCTCTAAAACAGAGAGCATTGAACTCAGGCCCGCAGGTTAGTGATATTAACAGGAATTCTGTATGTGGGCTGAAGAGAAGGCTAAATATATTTCATCCATATTTTAAAAAGTGAGAGAAACCTAGATAATGCACGACATGATACAGCTCACGTGGAAGGGTGTAGCTTAACTCCTAGGTATATGCATAGCAGTTCTGAGGCATACTGCCAGGTGGTTTAACAGCTTGAAGTGATTTTTCTATAATTCATTCATTAGGAGAAATATATATATATCATGCAGCTCACTGACTTTCCAAAGTTTAAAGCTGCTTAGCACTAAGTCTGTGAAGTAAATGAAACTGTGACTGAGCAGAGTAGCAGTTAAACCTTGAGAATTACGGCATTATAACTCCCTTTGGTATAAAGCAATCTGAACTTCATTCAGCAATCACTTGCCACCAAATCCTGGCCAGGGCAGCATCCAGCGTCGAACACTTAGCAGTTCCAGGGTATAGCCAGAGTCTACTGCTCCAGCTGCTTCTTCTGGGCCATTAATTGCCCAGTTTGACTGCATGGCATTTGGCCACTGGGGAATGACATCTGAGGAAGCAGCATTTACCTCTATACAAGATTGCTTTCCGTCACTGAATTGTAGCCATCTCTAGGGTGAAATGTAGCCATTACTTTTAAGAACACTGTACAACAGTTCAGGAAAGACTGCGGGGGAGGAATAGCTCAGTGGTTTGAGCATTGGCCTGCTAAACCCAGGGTTGTGAGTTCAATCCTTGAGGGGGCCACTTAGGGATCTGGGGCAAAATCAGTACTTGGTCCTGCTAGTGAAGGCAGGGGGCTGGACTCAATGACCTTTCAAGGTCCCTTCCAGTTCTAGGAGATGGGATATCTCCATTAATTTATTTTTATTTATTTATTT